TTTACCTCTTCGGTTAGGTTTATCCCGAGGTATCTTATGGCTTTTGGTGCTATTGTAAATGGAATTGTTTCTCTAATTTCTCTCTCTCCAGTTGTGTTGTTAGTGTATAAGAAAGCAACTGATTTTTGTGCATTGATTTTATATCCTGCCACATTACTGAATTGCTGTATGAGTTCTAGTAATTTGGGGGTGGAGTCTTTTGTGTTTTCCACATAAAGTATCATCTCATCTGCGAAAAGAGAGAGTTTGACTTCTTCTTTGCCAATTTGAATACCTTTTATTTCTTTTTTTGTCTGATTGCTGTTGCTAGGACTTCTAGTACTATGTTGAACAGTAGGGGCGAGAGTGGGCATCCTTGACGTGTTCCTGATCTTAAGGGAAAGGCTCTCAGCTTTTCCCCATTGAGGATGATATTTGCTCTGAGTTTTTCATAGATGGGTTAAAACCCTATGAACTTGAGGAATGTTCCCTCTATCCCTATACTCTGAAGAGTTTTAATCAGGAAAGGATGTTCTATTTTGTCAAATGCTTTTTCTGCATCAATTGAGAGGACCATATGGTTCTTCTCCCTCCTCTTATTCATGTATTCTATCGCACTGATTGATTTGTGAAAGTTGAACCACGCTTGCATCCTGGGGATAAATCCCACTTGGTCGTGGTGGACGATCCTTTTAATGTATTGTTGGATCCTATTAACCAGGATTTTGTTGAGGATTTTGGAATCCATATTCATCAGGGATATCAGTCTGAAATTCTCCTTTTTGATGGGGTCTTTCCCTGGCTTGGGGATTAAGGTAATGCTGGCCTCATAGAATGAGTCTGGAAGCTTTCCTTCTGTTTCTCTTTTTTGAAACAGCTTCAGTAGAATAGGTATTATTTCTTCTTTGAATGTTTGGTAGAATTCCCCAGGGAATCCATCAGGCCCTGGACGCTTTTTTTGGGGGAGGTTTTTGACCACTGCTTCAATCTCGTTACTGGTTATTGGCCTATTCAGGTTGTCACTTTCTTCCTGTTTCAGTCTTGGGAGTTTATAAGTTTCCAGGAAGGCATCCGTTTCATCCAGGTTGCTCAATTTATTGGCATATAGTTGTTGATAATAATTTCTAATAATTGTTTCTATTTCCTTGGTGTTAGTCATATCTCTCCCCTTTCATTCATAATGTTGTTAATTTGGGTCCTTTCTCTTTTCTTT